AGAGTATTCCTGTTCGTGTCTCCCATGATGCATTTACTGGTTTCGTCACCTCTTTGGCCTCCAAGCAGGTCGTTGACGATTTGAAACTTGTCCACTTTGAAGCCAATCCGGCCTCGGAGCTGGCTGCTTCTGCCAGTACGGAGGAGACTCCAGTCGTGGTTGGCATGGAAGCCCTCCAGTTCGAGGGTGCCACTGCCGATGCAAAAACCCAGCCTTGGCTGGTGCTGCTGCCATTGATCTTAGCTGGTGCTGCTACCAATGGTCTTACCACTCCCGAGGGGAGTTCAGTTCGACTTTGCGGCCACCATCGATTCCGATCCGGCAACGGTGTCGAACTGGCCTTACGCCCAAGAATGGTTCCGTGCCCAGCAATACTTGGCAAAGCGTTGTGACAGTCGTTCTGTCACCGGCGCTGGAACTCTCTTCAAGATGGATTCCGTTGACATCACCTCATGGACTGACAAGCACACACTTGTTGACCCTCGGTCCATTCAGGCTTCGGCCATCCAGATAACTTTCAACGACCTCGATTCGGCCCTAGTCAAGGCCACTATTCAGTTCAGTTCGAATGCTCTCTGGAAAGAGCTTGGTGCGACGGTAGAGGCCCCAGTCCCAGTGACTCCGCCTGGTCCCGCCCCTGCTGCCCCTGGTGGAACGCCGTCGGATCTCCCCGAGATGTTCAGGGAATTTGGCACGACCATGACCGAGTCCATGATCAGAGCCAACACCAGCACCAGATCCGGATCGGAACGACAGCATGCTACCCAGATGCTCCGGACCAAAACCTGCTACCAGATCTTCTTCGGTCATTACGATGATGGTGTCTTTACCCCCGCCGTACTCAAGCCTGACTTCGAGGCAGTTCTGGTTCCCACTCAGCCTTCCCCTGCCCAGCAAGCCGTAAGTTCGTGGGTCGAGTCTCTCATTACAGAGTCTCGCCAGAGCGCGAATTACCGCGACCGAAGTGTTTTCTGGAGCTCCCAGGTGATCAACTCCGGTTTCACAAAGGCTCTCCGTGGCTTCAACTGGCTCAGTCTCTCTTTGGTCAAGGGCGGCGGTGCAGCCAAGAAACAGCTCTCGCTGGTCACATTTCTCCGTCCCAACCAACAGGCTCCTGAGTTTGAGTTGGTCAAAGACGAGCAGACGTCCTTGGCTTCCTCTTCCTCGGTCGTTGTGGCAGACTTGTTTGACAAGGACATTTCGGCATTGGGCGATGGGATTTTGTTCTGTAAAGGTCGTTGTCTTCTCTTGAACGATGTGCTTGTTGCTATTCGCAACCTTCGGTGCCTTGCCAGCGGTATCGTCCAGAACTTTGACAAGACGTTGCTCGGCAAATGCCTCCTCCAGATGGACTCGTTGCTTGAGAGTGATGGTGCTCGTGAGTGCAACGATAGCTTTGCAGGGTTCCCTCAGCCCGTGGTGCATCTCCTCTTGGAGGTCCAGAAGATTCTGTCCAACCTGGTGAAAGTGGCCAACAATACCACTGTGATCCGCACGGTTCAGGCCGGGAACACCAATTTCTCCCCAAACATCTTCGAGGCGGTCATTGATGCTCTGAATGCAGCAGAGAAGATGGCACGGGCCTTCCAGAATGCCCCTGCCCCTCCCACGGATCAGATGACGGTCTTGGAGGCCCCTTTTGACTTGATGGGCATCTGCAAGCCCGTTGAGTTTCAGCCCAAGCGGCGTCTGGACGAATCTCTTGGTTCTCAGTCCTTCCGCTCTCAGCTCGGGACGATAAAATGTGGGTTGGATCCATGGGATCAACGTGGTGAGTGTGAGAACAAACTGTCTGCCTTATGTTACTGGTACCCACATGGTATGTGGAACAAGCAAAGATATAGAGAATCTTGGTTGGTACTGGTGAGACACAGGCCATACATATGGAACCAGGGAAGCCCCATATGGTCCCATATGAAGGTTTTGACCACTGTATCACCCCAGATGGCCATGAGGCGAGCATCTACTCAATCAGGTGACCTCAGGAGGATCCAGGAGCCTCAGTGTGGCTCAGAGTGCTCAAATCCTGCATAACACCCAATTATTTGGATGCATGCTTTTTGCTCATAGTCCTAAGAATTGAATGTATGAATTGAATACCATCTCCATAGACCTGTAGCTCCCTTGTTCCTTTGCAGTAAATACCTATCCTGTTGAGGCTGAGCAGTGGCATTGAGAGGTAAGCTGATAGCATTCGCTAGGCTGCCCAGCATCGTGATAGAATAACATCGGTACCAGCTCCAGGAGCTGGAAACTCTGTAAGCAGAGGAGGCCCTGTGGCCATCCTCATCTCTTGTGGATCTACCCTGATCCTTTTAAGAAGTTATTGGATTAAACAGTCGCAATAGCATCACAAGAGAAGCTATTGCTATAGACGAACAGGCCCAGTGAATCAGAGCTCGAGCTAGAAGTGGAAATCTCCAAGAAATCCTACCTTTTGACTCCTACTGATCCACACAGCCACTTTTGTTGTTATTCGAGGTCACCAGTGGATCCGGCAGGCCTGAATTACCCAAGAACAAGACTCTGCAAGGCCCTCAAGGTCGAAATCGGGGAACCTACCATCCTCGAGTTCGCGAAACTCGGACCGATCGATCGATCCGTACTCACGAGATGTCTTTTTCGAGGACTTTGTGAGGCGGCACCAGTCAAGTCAGTGGAGTACCCAAAGAATTAGAGACAGTGGCAGAGGTACGGACCCGTGCAGTCTTTAACGACCACAAGTTCTCGTACCGGTCACGGGAAGTTCCTTGACGGTCACACGGAAGCAGATCAGCCAATCAAAACGGTCGTGCAGTATTCACAAGTTCTTGTACCGGTCACGGCACGAACGACGTTAACTCTCTGAAACGCCTAGAAGCCTTCGGAACGTTCCAAACGTCTGTGCAATTTTCACTGTTCCACGAGTTCTTGTACCAGTGTCCGTGCAGTTTTCGGTATTCTGTACCGGTTCGCCCCTTAACTCTACGGAAGTCACTCGGAAGTTCCACGGAAGTCTCAACATTGCGCGGAACATCAGGATCGATCCAGGAAGCCTCCGGATCAACGCAAAGACTTAGAGAGTTCACTCCGAAGACTTATACAAGCATGCAATGTGTTTACGGTCGTTTTCCGTGATTTCCCTCTCATTTTCTGGGTGATTTTCAGCTCTCAGTCTATCACAAGCACACATCATGGTGAACAAGTCTGAGAAGAAGAGGAGGAAGGAAAGGAGGATGGCAGCTGCTAATGCTGCAGAGCTTGCAGCTACCCCTCAAGGTGGCAACCAACCACCCACCACCATCCTCACCCATCCCCCTGCTGTTGATGCTGGTGGTTCAGTAGCTACCTCCACCCATGATGGAAGCAAGGATCCCCCATCACTCCCACCTGCTACCACCACCCCTTCTTCCACTACCGATGCTATGCTTCAAACTATCCTTCTGCGCCTGGAGATTCAGCAAGCATCCATGGAGGCGCAGCAAGTTTCTGTGGAGGCCATTGGCAAGCGCCAAGTGATTGATGGATCCGCTTTGAGGGCACAACAAGCCGATGTCGCCACTCTCACCAAGCGCATGGAAGAGCGCCACCAGGACCTTGAGACTTCATTCATCCAACAGTTGAAGAAGTCCATCAATCAGCTTGATGCGAGGGCTCAACAACACTTGGACTCCATGGAGATCAGCCATAGGTTCTATGAACCAAGCTTGGCTTCACCAATCTGCACTGTAGCCCAGGAACAGCATGGTGTTGAGGAGCAGGAGAAGGCGTTTAACAAGCCCTTGGCCGAGAATCAAGGAGGACCCACTGCACTCACTCCCAACACCATGCCTGGAGACCAGCCTGAAGGTGATGTTGCTTTGAAGCAGGAGGCAGATGCCTTCATTGATGTTGCCACCTACCTCACCGGCAATGGAGTCCACCCTGCCAAGGTCCCTGCCAAGGTTCCTGTCAAGGTTCCCTCCATGGAGGAGGAAGCATTCAAACCAAACCCACTCCAGTACACCCCAGTCACTGGGGCTCCTCCACCCTTCACCATCCCCAGGATCACCATCCAACAGACTGACTACACGAGGCAACCAGACCTCATCTTTCCTGATCTTCCACCGCCTGATCAGCAGACACACTACAGTGGCAGGTATGGCCTCAATTGGGTTGGGAAGAGAGTCTGGATCAGGTACCCACACCCCCTTGATGCCTCCCAGCTACCCTCCAATGTAGCCATGACCCCTGAGCACTGGTTGGGGAGGATGTATCCCAATGGACAGTTCCTACACCTCACAGGTGAATGGGAACAACACATGAAGCCCCAGCTCCCAACCCAGCTCTCAACCCCTTCACCTTCACCAGAGCCCAACCATCAAACCCCCTTCAAGATCCTTGACAAGGCACCAGCATTACGTGCCCCCAAGTCTATTGTCCCCTTTCCCAATGGCACCACAGTGATTGGATCCAACCTGGGCTACACTGGCCATGGCCCTGGCCCTGACCAACCACCAGATCAAGTGTATCGCGGTGGAACTTGGAGGAGCAATCAATACCCTAGACCCAGATCTGGAGGTCATGGTGGACCCGGAGGACCTGATGAACCTGGAGGCTCTGGAGGATCTGGAGACCACGGGGGCAACAGGTATGGACCTGGAGGCCCTGGTGGCCCTGGAGACCCTGGTGGACCTGGAGACCCTGGTGGATCTGGAGACCCGAATGGTGCTGGTGGAGGCTCTGGCACACCACCCAACACTACCAGAAGGTTTCAACCCAAGCAAGACAGGGATGCCTACAAGGAGTTGACCAGGACCAAGCATTTCACCAACTGGTTTGTCCACACAAGTGTGACCTTGCGGGCACAAGGACTCCTCAAAGTGATTGATGGTACCTATGAACCACAATCCCAGGAGGACAAGGCTGAATTGGACAGGATGCAGGCGTGGTTCTACAGTGTCCTCCAGGAGAAGGTCAAGACTGAAGTTGGCAAGGAGATCGTGGAGAGGCACTTCAATGATGTCAATTGCCAGGCCATCATGACAGCACTCCGCCTTGATGCACATGCTTCCGTGGATGGGAGGTTGGAGCAGGCTGAACTCTACAGCTGGCTCACCACCACCACCTTTGCACCTTCCAAGCAAGCCGCACTGGACTTTATTGTCAAGTTCAATCGGAACTTCAAGAGGTACAATGACGCCGTCAAGGCCAAGACTGAGCGCATCACTGAGGAAACCAAGAAGACACTACTCCAGCGTGCTCTCTCCGATGTGCCATTGCTCCATGCAGTCACCTCCCGTGAGATTGAGCGCATGACCTTGGAGCACAAGCCAGGTTACAATTTCGAGGAGTACTACGAAGTCATCAAGGTGACTGCCGCTAGCTACGACAGGAACCGGGCAACGTCACGCCGTCGGTCTGTCAATTGGCATGACCTTGATAGTGACAACTGTGATGGTCAAGACAGTGAGGCCCCAGCTGATGGAGGCATTGATGCATTCAATGTCAATCTGGACCCAACCACCCGATTGCCCGATGAGTTCTTCCGCCAACTCCCACGTGAAGACAAGTCCATCTGGCACCGGCTGTCCCCCCAGGCCAAGAAGATCTTGATGGAGTCAACCCCACCCAAGCCTGGTCCACCTGCACGACAGGCTCACCTTTCTGAAATGGTAGAGCAGGATGAGGAGAAGGATCGCCCTGAACAAGTGGATGACACACTACCACCCACCATGGAAGCCAATCAAGCACAAGCCAAGCCTGGAGCTGGTCCATCCCACTCGGCACCCCAGTCCAAGTCAAATGACCTGCACCCGGCACACCCAGCTCGAATGATGGGCACCAAACCCAAGCCACGCGAAGGTAACCTTGCTGCTAGCCACCCGAGCAATCGATCCGCCCACCATGCATTCCACCGCATGCTGGACAACGTTGATGACATTGCCTCTGGTGCTGCCCATTCTACCAAGCCTGGCCCTGATAGAGCGGATTTTCGGCTCGGTGACTAGCTTTTGTCTCAAGCTGGTTTAGCCGAGGAACCTCTTCAGAGACAAATGACAGCGGGGTAGCACACAGTCAGCCCACAGCGGCGCTTCCTTCCGCCGATGATGACTGGGTTGGAACCCCTATCCCCTCCTTAGGTTCTGGTGTTCCCAACCACCCTTGTGTATCGTACTACTCAGCCTTCATCCATCACCGCAAACGACTTTGGTGCACCTTGATGGATCGAGGCGCCAATGGATTTATCCTTGGCAATGATGTACGTGTTGTGAATTTATCTGGTACATTCATTGATTTGAATGGTATTGACAATCACACAGTTCGAAACCTCCAGTTGGCTACTGCGGTTGTGTTCATGCGAAGTGATCATGGTCCCATCCTTGGTTGCATCCACCAGGGTGCCGTCATGTACGACGGCCGTACCATTGCTTGTCCCGGTCAGATGGAGCACTTTGGTTGTTGTGTCCACGACAAAGCCAAGACCGTGACTGGAGTGGACCCCTACTTTGTCACACCCAATGGTTTCAGAGTCCCCATGGCCATGCGCAATGGACTTCCGTATGTAGACTGGCGGCCACCCACTGATGCTGAGATGGCAGACGACTCCATCCCTTTGATAGATTTGACTAGCCCACACCCGTGGGACCCCTCGTGCCTTGATTCAGTCCCGTCCGATGATTGGTATGACACCCAAAGTACTACCGTCCTTGACGATGCAGATTCCCCTTTAGACAGCTTGGGCCGACTCCAGACTATGGATGACGATGCCCTGACTCCATCTCGTCCCACCCCCAAGCAGTCCATTGATCGTCGCGGTATCATCGCCGCCATGGCTAACCTTGTTCAAGACGATTTGGTCGCTGCCAGTGCTGATGATGTCCCCGCCCTCTTATCCCGCCCGTGCCATCATTATGACTCCAGCTCCGACGATGATTCTGACCTTGAAGATGACTCTGACGTTGAAGACCTCCGACAGTGCTTTGCCCGTGTCCCCGACCTTATGACCCCCTATGACGACTCCTCTGGTGCTGAAGACTCGGACTCCTCTGGTGATGATTCTGACTCTGACACTGAGGACTTACGCCATTGTTTTGGAGTCCAAACCCGTGGCCAGCTTCGTGGGGAGCCTCCAAGTACTCGCTCCCGTTCCCGTCCCACCCGCCCCTCTGACCCAACGAAGGATGGGGAGAAAAGGACTCGGAAGATGCCTGAAGTTAGACGACCTCGTTCCAAGAAGCAGTCCTCCGTTGACAGACGACCACGAGTTGAGACAGTACTACCAAGCGATGATGATGACAGTTCCAGCGACGTTGAAGATGAAGATGGAGACATTCTCAAGTCGAACAACAGGGCCAAGCACCACACCGGTGTTGAGCTGCCCCCCATATCCCGCAAGCGGCCCCCTGAGCAGATTCCAATGATGCGGCGGTTCTTTCCGGGAACTAGTGACGAGACACTCAAGCGAACACTGGATGCCACTACCCAGTATGGTACCAAGGGAGCTGTCCAAGGTCGTACTCTCCGAAGCCAGATACTGTCGCCCAACCCGATCCTCAACATTCCGAGAAGGCAAGAGGATGTGGCTACAGATACTATCTACGGCAGTGTCCCTGCGGTTGACGACGGATCTGTGGCAGCCCAATTCTTCATTGGACGCACATCCCACTACAGGTCATTACACCCCGCTGGCACCAGTGACGCAAGCTATGTCAAGACACTGATGGACAACATCCGAAGGTTTGGAGCAATGAACTGCATCAGGAGCGACAATGCCCAGGCCCAGGCAAGCAAACGGGTCAAGGACATCCTACGGACCTTTTGCATCAACGACCGAACCTCTGAGCCATACAGAGGGAATCAGAACTATGCAGAACACGGATGGAAGGATACCAAGACCAAGACGCAGCTGGTACTTGACACCAAGAATGCACCATCTAAGTGTTGGCTGACTGCTGGCCAGTACGTGACCACCCTGCAGAATCATATGGCATATGAGAGCCTTGGCTGGAGAACTCCCTTTGAGTGGTTGCATGGGTACACGCCTGACATATCTGCACTCCTTCAATTTGAGTTTTATGAACCAGTCTACTACCAGAAGTATGATGCGAAATTCCCACAGGACTCAACCGAGTGTGTGGGGAGGTTCGTTGGCGTCTCAGAGTATGTTGGCCATGGCATGACGTACAAGATTCTCACTGAGGACGACAAGATCATCCATCGGGCTGTCGCTAGAACAGCAAGACTAGGCAACGAATTCACCAATTGGAAGGCGGATGCACAGGCACCCAAGCTTGCGCCCAAACCCAAGCCATTTGTGGACGGACCACCCTCAAAGACCATCGAAGGAGGTATTGATCTTGGGGAGACCCAGAACGCTACAGTGTTCCATGACGCCATCCGGCATGACATCAGCTCACACCTGAGAGAGGACGACATTCTCCAAGGTGGCACACTACTGACCATTGATGTGTCAGGTTTGCTCAACCGAACGTTCATAACCAACCCGGACGACAATGGGGAGTTTGAGATCCTTGTTGAATGGGCAAGCGGGTGCAAGACATGGGAAGACATGGGGTTCATCTTCAATGATGATCCAGTTTCTGTTTCCCTGTATGCGGTGAAGAACAACCTGGTTGGTGTGGATGGATGGAAGCGGTGTAGACCCTACACGAAGAATGCAAAGAAATTCGCTAGGATGATTCACCAAGCCAGGCTGAAGAACTTCCGGAACAAGCCGGTGTACAAGTATGGGCACCAGGTTCCAAGGAACCATGCTGAGGCGGTCTTCATCGACGAAAAGAATGGAAACACAAAGTGGCAGGACTCAGAAGAACTCGAGATCAAACAGCTCTTGGAATACGACACGTTCAAGAGCCTAGGTCTCGGAGCGCCAGTACCAAAGGGCTTCCAGAAGATCCCCTGCCACATGGTGTATGACATCAAGATAGATGGACGCCACAAGTCGAGGTTTGTGGCAGGTGGACACAGAACGGAGACGCCAACTGATTCTGTGTATTCAGGTGTTGTCTCTCTGCAAGGAATTCGCCTTGTCACCTTCATTGCGGAATTGAATGACTTAGAGTTGTGGGCCACGGATGTTGGTAATGCATACTTGGAGTCCTACACAACTGAAAAGGTATGCTTCATTGCCGGAGGCGAGTTTGGACCTCTGGCTGGACACACAATGCAGATGATCAAGGCACAATATGGACTAAAATCTTCTGGAAAGTGCTGGCATGACAAGTTGTTTGATGTGCTCCACTCCATGGGATTCAAGCCCTCACGCGCTGAGTCTGACATCTGGATGAAGGATCGAGGAGACCACTATGAGTACATTGCGTGCTACGTTGATGACCTGCTCATTGCATCATGTGAGCCCCAGGTAATCATAGATGGGCTGATGGCCGAACCCCACAAGTTCAAGCTCAAGGGCACTGGTGAGGTGGAGTTCCACCTAGGATGCAACTTCAAACGTGATGAGGATGGGACACTCACAATGTCACCATTCAAGTACATTGACCGCTTGGAAGCACAATACCTTACCCTCTTTGGGGGAAGAAGCCCGCCAACCAAGGGACCAGTCCCTGGGTTTTAAAGGAATGATCAACG